GACTAAAAGCTTTAACCATCGTTTCAGCTGTGATGTCGGTTATCAGTATGACTACTGGAAACCTCGTTAATCTGTCTATGTAGGCCGTTGTATTATATTCATTTCCAGCCGAGATAATGCATCTGCCATATGATTGTCCTGACCTTTAACGTGTAGGAAATCACTGTTGAACAATGATGTAAAGTCAAAGTTTCAAACCTCTAGATTAGGATATTTATTGGTTCTAGCTTTTAATGCCTTGGTTAGTGACGTATGATCAGCATAAACTATAAGCTCCACTGCCTTTCCATATGTTTCGGAAATGCTTAGTGATTAAGTAGGTTTTGAGAATTCCTCATCCGAAGTCAGAATATCTCGTCCCCGCTAGAGCGAGTATCTGAGAAGAAAGCAATAGAATTTTAAACCATTTGGTTGAGGACACCATCTAATGCTTTGTCTGAAGCACGTGCCATCAAAGTAAATGAGAATGGGAGTTCGAATACAACAACGCAGACGCTTGTGCCAGTTTATCATTCAGCTGTTCATCGGACTCAAAAGCCTCAGAAGCTAGCCTAAATTGCCACAGGTTGCATTATTTATGTACACACAGACGTGAATCGACGATAAAATACAACCTAATCCGGAGGTCCTCCAAGTTGCGTTAGAAAGCTTGGTATGAGGTATTGCCTAATTGCGTCCACCTCCTCTTTGATCGGTGTAATCCCTTCTGGGCGTATTGTGTGTCCGAAAAAATGTAGGGTTTGAACACCGAAAACACGATTGATTGATTCCGTTTTCATCTAGCCGTTTTAACACTGTTCTCACATGCTGTTTGTGTGAGTTTAGATCCAGACTGACAATTAAAAAGTTCTCTATCTTCACCTATGCAAGTGGCGTGTCCCGAACTAGATTATCCACGGATCTTTGAAATCTTTGTGCCGCGTCCTTTAGGCTGTATGACATGCTTACCAACCCGAGCAGTTCAGAAAGTGTAGTAATGAGAGCCTTAAGGATATCATCCTGAGCTACTGGGATATTGTGATATCCCCTTAGTAAGTCAGTTATAGTAAATATGTCCATATCCTGTGAGCCGTTTGTAAAATCTTGTATATGAGGTATTGGGCACCTATCTGGTACTGTTTGACGGTTGAACGATCTGTGATCCATGCACTGTTGTCAGTCGCCTTCGTTTTCATTTCGTACCATAATCAAATGCGATGCCCATTGGCACTCAGATGGGTGGATAACACCAAGGTGTAGCATGTAGTTAAATTCTGCTCTAGTGCTTTTGAGTTTATCTGGTGCAAGTCTTCTGGGTCTATAAAACACAGGCACTCCTTCAATTTTGGTCGTATGGCTTACCTTTGCTTTACCTTTGGAAAGCCGATGGTTTGATTTAGTTTGGTTTAAAAATCCAAGAGTATATCCTGAAATTTTGCAGTTGTTACCGGCGGAGTTTGTACCACACTTACAGAAGTAATGTGACACTTTGCCGCTTTTTTAATTTGAAGTTTCCTTCAGTGTCAAACATCGTTTCACTCTCGACTAGAAATTAATTTCTCTAAAAAGTATATTCTCAGTATTGCCAAATCTTAATCAGGTACGATAAACTTCAAAGGTAATTGTCGTTTAAACCGCAAGTCTAGGGTCAATGTTTTCTGCAAACACCCAGTGATTTTATTTTTTAGTAGCTTGAAGTGTAACTAGGGGTGTTCATCGACTCAGGCCGGTACTGTTCCGAGTAACGATACTAAGTTCAGCACCTCAGTCCACCAAAACGTTCAAACCTGAACTTATTTCTCCAAAATAAAGCAAGCGACTGTTTAGGCAACCCTCTTCAGTCGTCGTGACCAGCAGAGAGGTTATTCGTTTACCATATTCTCGGGAATCTGTCCAGACCAGGCACATGGTTGACTGCACGTCGTTGATCAGACACCAAAATTCCAGTGGCATAAACAGAACTATCCGGATTTCCTAGACGTTTGTGGTTTGCTCTGGTTTGAAGGCTGATGAAGTGTTATAACCTTCATTCAAAGTAGCCTTCTTCAACGTTCTTGCGCTGATTCATATCGGACAAGAGATTAGTTTAACCGCGTATACAGGAGGCCTTAAAATAAATGTTTGCTGTAGATCCAAGGTTCATATTCCAATCCAATAACTCGGTACCCCGGTAGTATTGATGAAAATAAGAATGCGTCCGAAATTACAAATGTGCAATACATTAATGGACTTAAAGTGGGCCTGTAAGTTCAACAGATAACCAAAACTGAGTATATGTGACTTCAATTTGATCCAAACATGAGCCATCAACAACCACATAATAATTATATGAGAATTCAAGAATAACATAAAAGTTTACTAGAAAAAGATGAAAGACCATCGTGTTCAATAGCTTTAAACATCTCTAACAGATAAGAAACGTGGCCTCCATCCTCTGGGGATATCCGTTTCCGCGAGACATGCAGTAACAATCAAGAGTACAGTAGCTAGATCTGGCCTCCAACGAAGTACAGTGAATACGTAAATCAAAATGCATAAATCGATTAACCAAATGGTAGCAAAGTAAAGATAAAACACTGAATTTATACACAAAATAAATGACGATAAACTCATGTGGATTAGAATATATAATGAATGTATAAGCAGACGAAAAAGTGCCAATTTTACATACAAACAAAGATAACAAGTTACTTACACTCAAAACGTAACATGCAGGAGTTTCATGCATGTTCATACCAAAACACACACAAGCAATCTAACGAAACTAGGCTCAAGAATAGTCGTCAATTCACCGTAGAGCATATATTGAGGGCGTACAACCGAGCTTTGATTGTTTCACTAAGGCAGTGGGTTAGCCGGGTTGCTTCAAATAGCTCTGGAATTGAGGAGTGGTGGAGTAGATCTACTGTACAAAGTAAGACATTTTGACCCTGAGTATTGAGATGAAATCATCTTACTGTGGAATGATACCTAAGCCATGCTATCCGCACCCCATCAGTTGGCAATCGGTGTTCGTAGGTATACCTTGAACGTTGGATCTTTTGAGTGCAAAGTACTTATAAATGACTGGCGAGAGCCCGTCTTACGTTCAAGTTTTTGCTCTCTACTCTGTTATTAAAATATGGTATATCGATCTATTTGAAATTTATGAACCAAAATTAACGGTAGAACCAAGCCCCAATTTAGGTATCAAAGTTTATTCGTAATTTACAAATAGTTGACTTAAATGTCGTTCTTCGATTTTTTAGGTTCCTGGAGCATAAACTCCAAAATACCAAACCAAGGACAAAGAGAATCCAAAACGTTCGAAAATAACTATATAAACAAACAATTTCTGAGGTTGAGTAAAACAAATACATCCAAAAACACAGTGATATTAGTAATATTCAATATAAGGGTTTTAATCAGCCAGATGTTTTCAGTCCTCTCGTAACACTTGTGTCCACACTCAATCTTGGTAGTAAGCAATAAGAAGCAGTCAAAACATCCGTGTACTTAGGCTGCTACGTCACTTCTGGTGGTTCCGCGAGCTACGGGATCAATTCAGGAGTTAAGAAAGTCCGAGAGGCCTATGTTAATTCGGACCGTCGTTGTCACCGTCATGTTTCTATTCTGACCTTTAAAAATGAGATCCTCAGGGCGTCAGTGAGCGCGGTTTCGCTTTATGCTGATGAAGCTTAACCTTCTCAATCTGATGAGATTTGGTAACTCCTGTTCGATCATTGTTTTCCCCGAAGGTTTGATTATATCCAGAGACAACACTCTGTTAGTCATACGGAAGTTTGGGAATATGAGTTTGAGTGCAGTGACGATACCCCACTCGGTATCATCATTTTGGTAGTTCGGCCAAGTGTTACGAACATTATCCCAATGAATTCCACATTACCCATTAGTTGATGACTTTTGGAGTTGTAAAATAAAGTGCGGATGCCGTCAGTTTATGACAAGGGGCTGTGGTATGAAAGAAAATTGTATGGTATAGGTATCTATCAGTCCATCACGACATCTTGTCTGATGTCTGAGAGATGGTGTTGCTCAGTGGCTTGAGACGTTATCGGAAGTTGCCCAGAACAGAGGCCAGTCGTTTTCATTTAGTTTTAACACATTGAACTGACAGGATTGCACTGGTTTGTACTTTTCTTAAATGAGTCGTTCTTTCGTAGCATACTAATGTAAATTGTTTTTATTTATTTGTCTAGACTAAACCCATATTCCTCTCCGAATCTTTACTCAACTTCACTTCCCTGTTTGTGATGTGCATTTATTTTGGTACCAAATTTTACAAGTATTCATGTGTTGAAATAAATAATTATATAATGCTGTCACACCACTCCTTCTACCACTAATTTTTATAAGAAAACAGACATTTATAGCACTCCGTATAGTCCTTAGCAAGCTTTGCTTTATGGTTTATTCTTTTAACTATGTAGAGCTGGGCCAGAACTACTCCTAATTTTTGTGTAGACACTTAGTTTAACAGTTTCCCACTAACATAAATTTCACCCACACTCATGTTTTATTCAGAATCGTGTGAAAATTGTTGGACCATAGGGAATAGTTTCTTGGTATCAGTCAAAGCACCTGTTATATAGTAGCTATGTTGAACGAATTCCGGATCACCACTGAATCCTTTTCTGGACAGGATTCTGATTTTATTATCCAGCGTACTGTTGATACTGCTTGTATAATTTACGATGCATGTGTTTCCATACGTTTGACGTGCCCGAGTTCTGCACGTCATTGTTGTATGGCAAGTAAATATTAACGATACTTGAACATTCGTATTCAGGAGCAGACTGTAATCGAATTTAATAACGCTTTGCTTATTACAAGTAAATGTAAGTCCTAGCAACGATGAATCAGATTCCTGACCGCACCCTGTTGCTTATTTATCATTTCGTACCAGGGCGACAACAATATTTAATACTTTTAAGACCACAAACTGTGTCAGCACTACAACGAAACCTTATACTTTTAGTATCTGTTGTCGTTTGTCAATAGATGGCCTTGAGGAGTCTGGTGTTTCGCACGTGAAACCGGTTATAAACCGGTTTTTCTGACAGACGTACGGGTTCGAAATATACTGAAGATCTGATTCTTTTTGTTCGCAATAAGTCCCCATTCCTCAAGATACAGTTCGTAAGTCAAACCTTGGTGTTTGGATGTTTTCTGATAATTCGGATGAATTGCTCGATTCCATAAATTTCAGTTTGCTTACAAACAAAATAGTTCATCACAAAAACTTGTTGTAAACACTGTTATAACGATTTTCAGGGTAATTGTAATCGTCTAACTAAGACTTGAGCTAAAGACACTAATTTACTGTGTTAGCAATAACAGTCAAATTTGTATCTTAAGATACCAAAGATAGGGTAATATATGTCGGCAACAGGATTGCCATTTTTCGTTAAGAGTTTGGGACATTGTTCACCATGTTACAGTAGGTTGTTATTTCTGAAAAAGTTACACAACACGTTCTCATTTCGATATATTTACCACTAGTTAATACCTAAAGTCTTGTTTCAAGTTCTAAAAATATCACAGATGATGTTCATAAGATCTTTGCCCTTACATTTTTCGTATTTTAAAACATTTCTAACTATTCGAGTAAATGACGTAAAGTTATGGAATCATGATTCATGGTTAGCACTATATATATATATATATATATATATATATATATATGTCAGTCAGTCAGCTACAACGTAGGACCAGGCACATATGTGCATCGGTCCGGGTTGCCATACCTCATTAGCACAGCAAGATGAACAGCGGATTCATAGGAGTGGTTAGGTCAAAGGTTGCAATAAGGATATAGTATAGGAAGAAAGAATAAGTTCGTAGACAGAAAGAATGAAGTGATTTTAGTCTCTTAGTTTAAGGGAAGACAGGGAGTGTATACACCGACGCCATTGTGATCGATTCCGAGCCATGTTACCAAGAGTCTCCAACCATTGGTTACGAAAGTCACGCGGACCCCAACCAAGTAGTCTGCATCTACCAACGTGGCTCAGACTAGAAGTTAGTGACTTCGGGCACTGATGCCACGTTTTGGTTTGGCCGCCCCTAACTTTCTTCCAACCATCCCCTACACCGGTTAGCATTGCACATCGTGGTAATCGGTGTTCAGGCATACGTAATACGTGGCCCAACCATCTCAGTCGATGAAGATTCATAACCTCATCAACTGATTTACCATCATTCCCTAATACCCTGAGTCTAACCTCACTATTACTTACCCGGTGATCCCAGCAATATTTCTAAGGCATCTGTGGTCAAATACTAGTAGCTTACGGGTGTCTTCTACTCTTAAGGGCCATGTTTCGCTGCCGTAAAGTAAAACAGAACTGACTGCCGCGCAGTATACTCGTCCTTTTATTGATAAACAGATATCTCGCCTTCGCCAAAGGTGACGTAAGTTGGCAAAAGTCAAACGAGCTTTTCGAATCCGTGCTGATATTTCGTCAGACACCAACCCATTAGGGCTGATTACACTTCCAAGATAAGTGAAGTTGTCAACGCGTTCGACTACTTCACTCCCTATCCTTAGTTCAGGTGTTGACGCAGACCAGTCCTGAAGCAACAACTTGCATTTAGAGGGAGAGAAGCGCATCCCAAACATTCTGGCATTGTTGCTTAGTGCTACCAGAAGACTCTGCATTTTGTCAGCGTCTTCACCAAACAGGACTATGTCATCTGCGTATTCTAAGTCGATAAGTGGACCTCCTGGAAGGAGATCAATACCCGAGAATTCAGTCGACGAGAGTGTTATTTCCATCAATAGGTCTATGATGAAGTTAAACAAAATGGAGAAAGTGGACAGCCTTGACGGACACCACTTGAGGTAGCAAAAGTAGATGACAGTTCGCCATAAGCCCTGACTCGACTAGTAGTGTTCGAGTAAAGAGCCTTCACAAGGTTTATGTACTTCTGAGGTACGCCTTTCAATGACAGACACTGCCACAGAGTCTCGCGGTCTACCGAGTCAAATGCTGCTTTTAAGTCAAGAAAGACCACCATTGTCGGACGCCGATAGGTATGCCTGTGTTCTAGAACCTGACGAATGGTGAATATGTGGTCGATGCAGCCACGACCAGGTCTAAAGCCAGCTTGGTTCTCTCGAGTTTGTAGTTCACGAGTCTTAGTTAGGCGTTTGATAATTACCGAGGCCAGTATTTTAGATACTATGTTTGTTAAACTAATCCCTCTGTGGTTGTCACAGGATGATTTTGACCCTTTCTTATATATTGGGACGATAAGTGATTGCGACCAGTCAGATGGGATAAAGTCTAATTCCCAGATCTTAGCTAAAATATTAGTCAACTTAATCGCTAAAATTGGACCACCATCCTTAAAGACCTCTGGAGCCAATCCATCTGGACCAGCTGCCCTTTCTCGTTTCAGATTAACTATAGCCTTTTGAACTTCAGCAAGAGTCGGGGGACCTACTTCAATGTTCCATTCACACTATCTGGGAATGGAGGGTAGTTGTAGAGTAGCTGAAGGCCAGCTGAACTGTTCCTTAATGTGTTCCGCCCATCGTTCTAAACGTCTGGACTGGGAGCAGATGAGAGTATCATCTTTTTCCGAAATAATCTCACTTACACTTGACTTATTAATTCCAGTTTCTTTTATTAGTCTGTAAAGCTGTCTTGTGTTCCCTATAGTCGCCGCCTTTTCCATCTCTTTTGCTTTCGATGCCCACCACTGCTCACGGTCGTTTCTTAGACTTTTTCTTAACCTAGATCTGATTTGTTTTCGCTCTTCATCATGTTCAGAACCTGATGGGACGAGTTTGCGAGAATCCATCAGTGTGACAGACCTTGAAGAAATCCACTGGTTCCTTGCAACTCTGTGGTTTAAGTCACTAATAGATGTCACTGCTGTTTCCACAGCTGATTGTATGCCCTTCCAAGCAACATCTGGGTCAGCCTCGTCTTCACAACTACCTAAGTGTGACCTCAGTTGTTCCTGGAACCTACTTTTGGTTTTCTCGTTACTCAACTCAGTTCTAACGGGTCTTTTTAATGTGGCTTTTTTGCGTCCAGTGAGGCGCAAGCAGATGCGTGCCCGTATTAGGGCACGGTCGGAGTCCAAGCAGGTACTCCAGAATGAGCGACAATCTTCTACCGACCCTCTCCAACGATGACTGGTGGCAATATGGTCTATTTGAGTCCATCGTTGGTTTGGTGTAGGGGGTCGCCATGTTAGACGATGTCTCTCCTTATGCTTAAAATTTGTGTTTGCTAAAAATAAACGATTGTCTGAGCATAGCTGCAGCAGACGATCACCATTATCTGTTCGCTGTGTCGGAATACTAAAATATCCACCTAAATGCCTTTCTGTTTGGTTTAAACTGCCTATCTGAGCATTAAAATCACCTGCTACGAGTACTATGTCTGAGCGTTTAGCTTTCTGAAGAAGTTCGGACAGCTTTCTGTAAAATTCATCTTTCACATCATCTGAGCTGCAGTCAGTGGGAGCGTAGGCAGAAACGACAAAAAGGCAACGACGTGTGTCCCTATCCTTCCGAGTTCTTACGTAGCCGTTCAGCCGAACAGCACATAGACGACTGTTGACGGGGATCCACTCTAGCAGTGCTTGTTCGGCCCTCATGCTTAGTGCTATGCCTACACCTGCCAGTCCACGAGAACTTGCCATCGGGTCACCAGATACACGAAGGGTGTACCTCGTTGGCTCTCCGTTTTGCCGAGGTGAGGTCAAGTGAATGACCACACTGGAATCCTGTATGCGTGTTTCGGAGACACAGCACACGTCAATGGTAAGAGACTCTAGGGTTTTAGCCAAGGAAGCCTGCTGACCGATTTGACATAGGGTTCGTACGTTGAAGGCTCCAATGTGTAGACCTGGGACAGAGTTTTGAGCACTAGAATCGTTGGCTATGGTGACACTTGAGGTGGAAGCCGAGAGAGGAAATTTAAAGTTGAAAGTCGATGTAGGAGGAATAATAGGAATTGAAGAGGAAGGTTGATTATGAATACAGTGGTCTTGAGTGCTGTTAGAGGTATGAGGGCGGTTTTCACTTCCCGGTTGCCCACACCGTGGAAGGGTTCTTCTGGAGGTACCTGAAAAGGAATTTGGATTAAAGGTGGTCTTAGTGACCTTGGAGCGTGACCGCAGTGCCCAAGGGACAACTGCTTGAGGTCGGTCACACACGACCTTGTTATGGGTAATTTTTGTGTTAGCTCCGTACTTATTGAGACCTTACCGCCGGAGACGGATATCCGTGGGATAAGGCGAGGTGTGCATTTTTAGGGTCGACCTTTTCTAACCCCACCCCTCCTTGTGGGAAGGCAGCATCGCTGTCATGCTGGTTGTCTGAAGGAAACACCTTACTGCTGTCACACCTCTGTACAGTCAGCAGTACGATTTCGCCTTCGGACCTTGGGTTTGTTGCTTTTAGTCTTACCGCTCTTCAACCGACCTGTCTGACATGGTAGGACCTTGAGGAACGGTTGTTCCAGCCAATATAGCTCGGTTGCTTCATCACGATAGGCAAGCCCGACCACCACGTCAAGGTAGCAACAACGGTCGGGAATATATATATATATACTATGGAGCATACATTTAGTTATAATTTTAGCTGTTGTTATGTCCAACTTGAGTTTGTACACAGTCAGCATCTATCTTCTTTCTAAAGTTTCTTTTAAAAGGGCAAGGCGAAAAGTGAGTTCTTTCTTTCAAAACAATTCATTTAGTTATTAATCGGTAATTCGAGCGAGGCATGGAGTGTAACCATCCAGCTTATATCCCTTTATTATATTGTGAATGTAAATGTGTTAAGGTTGAATGCGCTCGAAATTTCAACTTAAGGTACTGAGCAGCTAACTGCTTTACCTTATTTTGACGTAGTTACAATTTCCTTTAATTCATGTGAATTTTTCACTGGATATTTGGATAGCTGCATGTATCAGGTTGTACGCCCTTTTGATTCGCGTTTATATGTTAATTGTGATCAAACTGGTGCAGGTGTTGAAGTGCTACGAAACTTTTATATTAGTTTTAGTCACAACACGATACATGCCACCAACGTCACCGATGGGAGTAATATCGGAGTCTGCTGCCGCCCAACTTCTAGATTTTTCTCAGCGCCTCGATATTGGACTTCTAGACCGTGTCGTAAACTGTATGTACCATGAAGCAGGCGACCAACAAAAAATCGCAGAGAAAGTCCTGAATACACTCAAGGAACATCCGGATGCATGGATGCGCGTGGATTCGATTTTAGAATTCAGTTCAAACCAAGAAACGAAATATTTCGCCCTTCAGATACTTGAAGCATTAATCAAAACACGTTGGAAAGTCCTAGCCCGACCACAATGTGAAGGTAACCAGTACTGTAACCCAAAACTGTCTTCTTAGGTATCAAAAAGTACATCGTTGGTTTGATAATCCAAACATCGTCCAGTTCGGAGCTCTTGGAGTCGGAAAAGACGTATCTTGGCAAGTTAAATATGATTCTGGTTGAGGTAAAAAAAAATTTATGACTTACTTTCCTTCAGATATTAAAACATGAATGGCCCAATAATTGGTCAACATTCATTAGTGACATTGTTGGGGCAAGTAAGACAAATGAATCTTTATGTCAGAACAATATGGTCATCTTGCGTCTCTTGAGCGAAGAAGTTTTTGACTTCTCTTTGGGTCAAATGACTCAAACAAAAGCCAAACATTTAAAAGACTCTATGTGTCAACAGTTCAGTTTAATTTTTCAGCTTTGTCAATATGTCCTGGAAAATTCCCAAAATGCATCTCTAGTTGTGTCGACGCTAGAGACGTTACTTCGTTTTATGCATTGGATTCCCTTAGGATATATATTTGAAACTAATCTAATACAAACCTTAGTATTTAAATTCTTCAATGTCCCTCTGTTCCGAAATATTACTTTAAAATGCCTTGCAGAAATAGGTATGTTTCATTTTTTGTATTGATATATTTTTGTTCAGCGGGTGTATTAGTTGACGAATATGATACCCAGCTAGTAGAACTGTTTGTTTCTACTACGGAAAAACTAAAAGAAGTGAGTTGGTTCATATTATCTAGTAACTGTTATACAGATGTTGCCTTTAGAAACACGACTAAAAGAGGCGTACGAGCGCGGAAGTAATGATGAACAGAATTTTATCCAAAACCTGGCAATTTTTTACACAACATTCCTCAAAGGTCATAGCAGTCTCGTCGAGAAACCTGAGCTTATTTGGAAATTACAAGATGCTTATGCTTATCTTTTGATGCTCTCGGAAGTCGAAGAAAGGGAAATATTCAAGATTTGTTTAGAATACTGGAATATTTTAGTTTCTGATTTATATCGAGAAAGTCTTACAACTACGGTAGTTGGAACATTGGCTGAATCCACCACTGGTGAAGGTCGAAGTAAACAATATGCACCAATTTTATCTAAGGTATTCTTACTTTCATCCAGAAATTTGTTTTACTTAATAGAGGGTTAGTACGATTACTTTTTTCGTTTTTTTATCGATGTATCGGTACTGGAAATAAACACTGATCACTGTGGAAAAGTGCAATTATCCTAATCGAGACAACTGATCAAATAGTTTGTCTTACTTTTGGTGTTTTAGGACCATTATGAGCAGTGACATTAGTAATAACATTACAAGGGTCTCCTTTTGCACGCGCATCATAATGAAATAATTTAATTATATATTCTGACCCTTCAATTCTGATGCAGAATTTTGCTTGATTTAAGAGTTGTACACCTTAAGTTTTATTCTGAAATTGTTATTCCGAATAATAAATTAAGATAGGTCTTTTTTTATAAAAAATGACGATATGCTTCATTGTTGGGATTCACATATTTCCTGCTAAATCATGGTCATGTATTTCCGCTGTTCAGACCTTTAAGTCCTTCACCTATCTTTACTCAGTTCTTACACATCTTAGTACCAATGTATTTGCTTTTTTTGATTGTTTCCTCTTTCAAAGGGATTGCTTAACAGTTTGGACCTATTAACACCATATGATGCCTTTTGTTTATAGAAGGAATAACCGTGTTATCATCGTACATTTCCGCTGTTGGTTAGCTACCAAATCCAATAGGTCAGGTTTTTGTGTCACGTCATGACTAAAAGTCATTTAGTTGCATCATGGCAACCCGTTTTCTTTACAACCACCTTAAATACTATAAGTTTATCAATAGTTGTAAATTATTTTTGACGACTTTCCTATTCTCAGCTTCGAAGAATCATGATCTCACGCATGGCTCGTCCTGAAGAAGTACTTGTAGTTGAAAATGAACATGGTGAGGTTGTCAGAGAGTTTATGAAGGATACAGACAGTCTTAATTTGTACAAGAGCATGCGCGAAACATTGGTATACCTAACTCATTTAGATTATTCTGTAAGTTCCGTTTAGTTTTACTCACGTTTATATTACTGCTTTTTCGTGTACACTTGCAAGTTCAATATATTTAAAATCAGGTGGTAATTCAATATAAATTAGTCCATGTATTTCATTCACTTTACATATGGCATTTGGTTAGTCTGCAAAAATATCTATCATGATCAGGAAATGAATTCGTGAACTAGTTTTCACGAAACAGATGACTTCTCGAATTGCCAATCAAATTAATGATTTGGTGAACTAAACAGAAAAGATTTGGAATTTAGTTAATAGAAGTTTGACTTTAAACCATTGCTTTTCGTTTATTCAGTAACTTTGGGATGTATAATTTGATGGCTAAAGCATTCGACTTTTAACCAAACTTCGTGATTGTACGTCCCAATCACACTCTTATTTTGGTTGAAATATTTGACCAGCATTATTGGCTTTTATACCAGAAAGTTTTAGTGAAAACGGTGTATATGATTTAGTAATAGAGTCGTCATCTAAGTATAATGTGCAGTTGAAACTTAAGATTTACGAGTTAATCTCTAATCCCCACATCCTTTGCTTGGCGTTATAAATTTCATCAAATATACTTGGGATTTACTTGTGTACCTATAACTTTGTACAACCAAGAAGGGTAAATGCAATTCATTAGCAGGTTTGTTAACTAAACTGTGGTTCACACTTGTATGTACTTACTCTTGTTACCCCTCGTGGAACATAGACCACCGACCAGGATACTCCAACCAACCCTGTCCTGGGTTCTCCTTTCCAGTTGTTTCTCTTTATTATTCATTCTTCTGATGTGTGGCTCCGATTCTCGGCGCAATATGTTCTTTAGTCTTCCGCTTTTCCTGTTACCTTTAGGATTCCAAGTTAAGGCCTGCTTCGTAATGCAACTTGATGATTACCGCAATGTATATCCTATCAACCTCAAGCTTATTTCCCCGATATTATCCTCAGCTGAAATCTGGTTTGTTTTCTGCTACAGTAGGTTGTTGTTAAGAACATCTAGTCAACGGATCTGGAGCATTTTACATAGACAGCTGTTTATAAATGTCTGTACTTTTCTGGTGATTGTCATAGTAGTAGTAGTTCTCTAAGTTTCATCCCCGTACAGTAGAACTGTCTTGACGCTTGTATTAAAAGTTCTGAATTTGACGTTGGCTGGTAGTTGTTCTGCGTTCCATATGTTCTTCAGTTGTAGGAATGCTGCTTTCGCCTTGCTAATCCCTGCACAACTGCATCAGATTCTCCTTAGTTAAAGATGTTACTTAGGTACGTGAAGGATCCTACCTCTTCCAGGACTATGCCATGAATTGTGACTTGGTTTGTGCTGAGTGTGTTGTTTTTTAGGGTCTTGTGTTTTCCCTGATGAATGTTGAGATCTGCTACGACGCAAGTCGTTACACTGACTGTCTTCGCCTGAATTTGTCACAGTGTTTGTTATGGAAGGACTAAGTCATTTGGGAAATCCAAATCATCCGACCGTCCCCAAGGTATCTAGTGTAATTTGTGTTTCCCCTGAGATGTGTCGGTTTTCATAATTCATTGGAACATCAAAAGAAAAAGAAACGGAGAGAGTAAGCAATATTGTCTGACACTGATCTTCACTATGAATGCATCTGTCAGCTGTCCTCCATGCACGGTTTTGCACTGTAGTTCGTCGTATGAATTCCGTTTGATATTGACGATGTTCTCAGGTACACCATAGTGTCGAAGAAATTTTCATAATGTTCTCCTATCCACACTGTCAAATACATCCTGATACTCAATGAAGTTGATGTATAGTGACGAGCTCCGTTCAATTGATTGTTCGACGATGATCCGTAGTGTTGCGATTTGGTCTGTGCACAATCGCTCCTTATGGTATCCGGCCTGTTGATGTGGGAGTTAGAAGCCTACTGAATCTTTCATTCTCTCCAAAAATACTTTGTTGAAAACATTTCCTGGTACTGATAGTAGTGTGGTGCTTCTGTGGTTGTGACACTTGTTGATATATCTTTTCTTTGTTGTTTTGACGAGGTATCCTTATCTCCAACTTGTCAGCACTTGTTCTCATACCTTTTGAATAAAATGTAGAGTGTATTTGCAGTTACTTCTATGTCTGACTTTCAATGCTTCAGCTAGTATTTTGTCTAATCATACTGCTTTCCCGCACTTCATTTGTCTCATAGCCATTCTGACCTCGATTATTGGTGGGGTGACATCTATAACAAGGTTGTTTACTACGCAATGGTGTAGCCGACCCCATGCGCAACCGTCCTGTATCCGGGCTTGGGACCGGGGGTAATACTAGGAGAGGTACATGCAGAATTACTCTTGTACATGTGTTACAGTAATGCTGGGCTGTTCAAACTCTGATTAATGAAACAAAATTGAGTGTTTTAGATTTAAACAACTAGGTGACACTTTTTAGGATAGACTGTTGTACATCTTCGGATGCTCACTAGTGAAATAAAGTGGTAGTTTGATGACTAAATATCAATCAAATACGGTAACTGTTAAACCAGTTACAGGTTTATGTACCTCACTTTGAGCCACACATTTAATGAGTGCTGGTGATATTACTCAGGTGCTCAATCAAAATTAGTTGAACCATGATCCGAAGATTCAAAGTCAAGGGTTGTTAACATTTGTCAGGTAAACGACGACGATCATTTGAAGTGTAAAAGGTATGAAATCCCTGTTTCACCGTGATCATTACAATATTGTTGCTTCTCACAGTGTTGTACGCCATGATAGGTAGATGCTTATTTATTGAGTTATTCATGTGATAAGAAAGTGAGTTTATTTATCATTTCGTTTGTTATGCCATAGTAAACTATCAAAATCAGTAGACCAGATACATAACGAATTAATATCGTGTAAAGGGATTATAAAAATTCTTCCTAATCGTGATCAGGAAAATATGTTTATGTTCATGATATCCACCTATCTATTTTTATTTATAAATCTTTGCATTTTTTTCAATAGTAATTACTAGTTAGTAAACATTCCTCGTAGACGAGTATAGTAGCCTTATTTAAACTTAAGGATTTGTCTTTTGTTAGGATAGTCGGAAAAATATACCAATAATTATCGTGTTAAGTCTATGGTGGCCTTCGACCTTAAATGTACATTTCCTATTGGTCGATGTTTATTTCACTTGTTAAATATTGTGTAAATGTTATTTTCTATTTTATGGTACGATGTGGTTTGTTTGTTTGGTATATAAATAGAGTATGTCTGAAATACAATGATTCATAACTCCAGAGGCTGTGACTTGCGTTCTTGACTCAACTGGCTGGGACAGACAGCAAAGCAGGGCCAATCAGGGCACTAGGTCGTCCACTACGTGTTTACGTGTCCACTGTAACCGATCGGTAAAACGCTGCTTACCAAACCTGCAGTCACACCCGTTACAACATCTTTATATTAAAATAATAATTCAAATATAACTAAACTATCAGACCTGCCCGCTGTTTGTCTGTCAAAATTAGTTGGTACGTAATTTCAAACAGTGAACTACATTCAACCACTTTCTACTGAATTTTCAGTTCGAAAATCTAAACTGTGGTTAGGTATATCCATGAATATACCCATATCAGATCCCCGAAGAAGTCTCACCTGTCATTAAACTGGGATTGATTTGCATTTAGGTATATCAGTTTATGGTATTATTTTACCAAGTATTTTCTGTTCCAAGACGTTAGCTAGTTCAATCCTGCAATGTCGTGAGTGCTTAGATTGTAGCAGGCGTTCACGATGTTTTATTGTTGAAGCAATAGATTTTTGTTATAAAGTCTTTGGTAGTTAAAACAATCATCTTTAAATGAGTTATTTTTTTCATAGAAAAACATTGTAAGTACTCTCCTACGCTTTCCGACCGTTTCCAGTAAAAAGTTTGATATTGTGTTTTCTTTAAACTGGATTTTTGGACTTTGACTATCAATAATAGTATACTTATTGTTCATAGGATACAAAGAAGATTATGATCGAGAAGTTGCAACATCAAGTAGATGGACGAGAGTGGTCATGGCACAACCTTAACACACTTTGTTGGGCGATCGGTAGCATCTCTGGTGCTATGCAGGAAGACGACGAAAGAAGTTTTCTAGTTATTGTAATTCGAGACCTTCTTGGACTGTGTGAACAAAAACGGGGCAAAGATAATAAAGCTATTGTTGCGAGCAATATCATGTACGTTGTTGGTCAATACCCTCGATTTCTGCGCGCACACTGGCGATTCTTAAAAACTGTAATTACAAAGCTTTTTGAATTCATGCACGAGACACATGAAGGTGTGCAAGATATGGCTTGTGATACTTTCATAAAAATTGCTCAGAAATGTCGGCGACAATTAGTAACTGTACAGGTACGTGCGCTTTTATAAATTATTGGTTGCATTATGTAAACACTATGTATCTTCGTTTACATTTCTCTTTCAAAATATGTGGCGTGTATTTTTATAATCAACCAATTTATAAATAAGTTTTGCAGACTATACGTCAGGAATTGTTACAGGAATTCCTTTGTGCAGTTACGAAACTGAATTTACTTTCTCATGCACGTTTAATAAATTGACAAAATCAGTCAGCTACAACGTTAGGACCAGGCACATACATGCATCAGTCCAAGTTGCCACACCTCATTAGCACAGCAAGACGAACACTGGATTCATAGAAGCAGTTAACTCAATGGTGTAATATATAGAGGAAAGACTGCATATAAGGATATAGTACAGGAAGAAAGAATTAGTTCGTAGAAAGGAAGATATGAAATAATTTTAGTCTCGTAGTTTAAGCGAAGACAAAGAGGGTATACACCTACACCATTGTGATCGATTCTGAGCCATGTCACACAGAGTCTCCAAGTCAGTAAGTCAGTTAAACTGAGCGTGGTACCTGGTAAGTACGTATAGCAGTTCAAGTTGCCATACACCATTGGCATAGTCAGATGAAATTCTTAGGGAAAGGCCCAGAGTAGTAGAGATGATAACAACATCAGTGATATTAGAAAAGAAGACACAGAAGATACGATTCAAGGAAATATAAATTCGTGAAATATTAAGATTATAAGAGATCCAGAAGCTTAGTATCTGAAGAAAAACAATGAGTCCATCTGCGCCATTGCAAACGATTTTGAGCCGTGTCATTTAAGGTCTCTGAGTAGTGGTTACAATAATCACGTGGATGCCTAATAAAGACTCGTGAACTGCAAAGACGAAAAAATCAGATTGGCTTCAGGCTTGGTCGTGGCTATATCGACCCCACATTCACCATTCGTCATACTTTAGAACACAGAGATCCTTATCGGTGTCCAACAATAGTGGTCTTTCTTGACTTAAAAGCAACACTTGACTGTAGATCGAGAGGTTTTGTGGCATTGTTTGTCATTGAAAAGTGTACCTCAGAAATACATAGACCTTGTGAAGGCTCTTTACTCGAACACTACTAATCGAGTCAGAGCTTATGGCGAACTATCATCTCGTTTTTTGTAACCTCAAGTGGTGTCTGACAAGGCTGTCCATTATCTCCATTTTTGTTCAATCTCATAATAGACCTACTACTGATCAACCCTAATGGGTTGATGTCTGACGAAATCTCAGCACGGATTCGAAAAACTCGTTCGGCTTCTGTCAACTTACGTCACCTGTGGCGAAGGCGAGATATCCGTCTATCATTTAAGGAATGAGTATACTGCGCGGCAGTTCATTCTATTCTACTTTACGGCTGCGAAACATGGCCATTAAGGGTAGAAGATACTCGTAAGTTACTAGTATTTGATCACAGATGTTAGAAATATTGCCAGCATCTGCTGGGATTACCGGGTAAGTAATAGCGAGGTTAAACACTGGGTATTAGAGAATGATGGTAAATCGGTTGATGAGGTTGTGAATATTCATCGAATGAGACGCGTGGGCCACGTGTTATGTATGCCTGAACACCGATTATCACGACGTGGAATGTTGACTAGTGTTGAAGACGGATGGAAGAAAGTTAGGGGCGACCAAACCAAAACGTGTCATCAGTGCTTGAAGTCACTAACTTCTGGTCTGAGCCATATTGATAGGTGCAGATTACTTGATTTGGGTCCGTGCGACTATTGTAACCAGTAGTTGGAGACTCTTGTTGACATGGCTCAAAATCGATCACAATGGCGTCGGTGTATACACTCTTTGTCTGCTCTTAAACGGCGGGATTAAAATTGCTTTATACCTCTACGAACTAATTCTTTCTTCCCTTATTATATCCTTATACACAATCTTTATTTTATATGTTACTATCATTGAAGTAACTACTTCTATGAATTTGTTTATCTTGTTGTGCTAATGAGGTGTGGCAACTTGGACTGATGCATATACGTGTCTGTTCCTACGTTGTTGCTGATTGACTGTTACATGTTAAAATGGCTCAGTACAATTGTCAATGACTTTATGGATTGGTGCCACGTCTTAGTTTGATCGCCCTTAGCTTTTTTCTAATCTACTACTACACCAGACAGCACCGCTCGTCGAGGTGGATGGCGGTTGGGGATATGTGAGATATGACCCAACCACCTCAGTTGATGAAAATGTTCTACCTCATCAGTCGATTTCCCATCCTTACCTAGTACTTTATTCCGAACTTAATCATTGCTTACTCCGTGGTCCCAAAGTACGCGATCAATGCTTTGTAAACACCTATGATCGAATACCAGCAACCTACGAATATTTTCCATTCCTAATGACCATGTTCCACATCTAGAAATTAGGACGGAGCAATTTGCTGCGCAATAAACTCGTCTTTCAGCTGAAATATGGCTATGTCGCTTATTCCACAAGTGACGCAAGTTGGCATAAGCCAATCAATCCCTTTGAATCCATGACGAGTTTTCGTTGGACACAAGACCATCTGTACTGATGAAACGCCCAAGACAAGCAAAGCAGTCGATACGCTCAACTACTTTATTCCCTATCATTAATCCAAGCGCTAATATTGCTCAATCCTTAAGCAACATCTAGAATTTTGAGGGTAAGTATTGTATCCCAAACATGCCTACATTGTCACAAGTTGGCCAAAAGGCTTTTAACATCGTCTTCATCAAACGGAACTTTGCCATCTGCACACTCCAAGTTGACAAGTTAGTCTCCTGGTAAATCAACCCCTGAATAGTCGAATAACAAGTGTTGCTTCTAAAATACACGTCCATGTTCCAGAATCTGCCGAAGGGTGAGTATTTGGTGTGCTCATCCACGTTCTAGTCTGAAACCAGTTTGACTTCTTCGGGTTCACTCTTCGCGAACTCTAGTTAGGTGTTGAAGTATTATTTTAGAGATTATATTACTTAAACTGATTCCTCTGTGATTGCTACAAGTCTATTTTTGTCCTTTCTTCTAGATTGGGTCGACTCAGTTTCCATATTCTAAGATCTTAGTTAATCTAACTGCTCAAACTGAACCATCATCCTTACAAATTTCAATGGTTAATCCATCAGGCCCTGCTGTTCCCCTTAGCTTTAGACTGCGTATGGCCTTTTCTCTTGGATGTAGAGTGAATAACAGTCCCATTTTTTCCCGAAGTAGTTTTGCTAATACTCTGGTTTTTAATATCTGTTTCTTCGAATAGTCATCTGTTGTTACTTATCGCCACTGTCGTTTCTATCTCATTTGCTTTCGCTATCCACCACCATGGCAAAACCTACAAGATTATGTATTTCGGTCGTTATAGCTTGGTTGAGTCATCACGATAGCCAAGCTCCATCGCTACATCATGGTATCAACCACAAAACTTTGTTTTTGTGACATTTATATCCAAATCTCATTACTAACTAGGTATTATTTACATAATTTAACTCAATAAAAATATCTTGCATATCATTCTTAATTAATAATAACAGTCTCAGATGCCGACTAGGCGGGTTTTTATTCTATATATTCATAAACGTTAAACTATCACATTCTATACAATTGCCTAAGTCTGGGTAGCTGATGACGGTTTCGACCACCTTAATTTATGCTTGACTCACTGAAAGATATAGTATAATCTGTGTTATTTTTACGTAAAGAATACATAATGATACCATACATATTACATTTTTGTTAAAGGCTTTTACAGATTTGTTTGACTTCCATTTATCTTCGAGTAACTTGAAAGCCAACCAGTAAACCTTCGAAAAAACTGTGAAGTTTTTAATGGAATATGGTCAACTTCGTACCATCCAACACATAACAAGCACCATTTGTTGCAATATTACAGATAGACCGTTCTCCACTTGTTTGACAATAATAAGAATTTTCCTGATAAGATTTTTGATCTTTAGAATTTTCTGTCTGAAACATTTTATTCCAGCCGACTTCAGTTAGCGAGTCGATGAATGTGGAAGTAAGGTGACATTTCATATTCTCATGAAGATTGTCGATTAGTTATAAACATGTTTCCACACTTCATTATTCTGTTCATTTGTAATCTATTAATAATTCGATTCCGGTTTTACTGTACAATTCTTGTACTTTTTTTATTCGGATAGTACGGAGAAGCAGTTGAATTTATTGAAGAGATTTTAAAGGAAATTGATATTATAATCAATGATTTACAACCTCAACAGGTTCACACATTTTATGAAGCCGTAGGAGTGATTATCAGTGCCCAACTTGACTCAGCTGTTGAAGCTAGACAGATAGAACGACTTTTTCGATTACCCAATCAAGTACGTTTTATACTATCCTTTTCAAATTATCCGAATGTAGATTTGGGATGGGATTCTTGTTCAAGCTGCATGCAATATTGACCTGTTAAGAGACTTTGAAGTTGTACAACAGCTTTGTAATTTACTGAAAACAAATCACAGTGCTTGCAAATCCCTCGGACATTCTTATCTTGTTCAGGTAAGCATGGTCATAAACCTTTGATACTTGATTTTTTAAAGTTAGTTAATCTTATCTTAAAAGAATATATATTCTTTTCAGCTTGGTCGCATTTACCTGGACATGTTAAATGTTTATAAGATAATGTCCCAAAATATTGGCCAGGCTGTGGCTACCAATGGAGAGCAAGTGACAAAACAACCACTTATTCGCAGTATGCGATCAGTCAAGAAAGCGATATTGAATCTATTATCTTGTTGGATAAAAAGGACTACTGATCCTGTTTTTGTAAGTTGTTTACAAGTATCTGACTTTGCATGTATTAGAGCTCCGTGGTTAAAATTACAGCCTTCGTAAATCAAAGCTTCATCTTCACTTTTATCTTTTATATAGGTGGCAGAGAACATTTTACCTCCGCTATTAGATGCCGTAGCTGACGACTACCAAAAAAATCTTCCTGCTGCTCGAGAGGCCGAAGTTTTAAGCTTAATGGCTACCCTTGTTAATCGTCTTGAAGACCATATTCTCCCAGCTCTGCCTCGTGTTTTAGATGCGGTCTTTCAGTCTACTCTAGAGATGATCGATAAAGACTTGGAAGAATTTCCTGAACATCGAACTAATTTTTTCACTCTTCTACAGGCTGTAAATGCGCATTGTTTTTCCGCTTTGTTAAGCTTAACATCTGATAAGTTCAAACTGATTTTAGATAGCGTTATTTGGGCAATCAAACATACTATGCGACAAGTAAGTTCTCACACCTTTCATTCTTATTTTGACAGTTTTAATATCACTTTGTGGGTATCAAACAATACTAAAGTTTTTATGTTTTTGAGGATTTTTTTATAAACACTTTACATGTATGAACCATTGTGATTTTTGTGACATGGCACATAATCATCCTACACTAATTCGTTGAACCTCACGAACTATATTTGTGCACATCACTATTTACCAAACAGTCGGTGTTCTGATGGGTCATTTTCACTAGATAATTTGGTTATATTCAATCTGATTTTATTTCGCTCGAGATCGTACATGAAGTATTTAGTGGTCACTTATGCACAATGTACGCAAATAGACCCTTAAGGTGATATCTTTTCGAAACCTGATCACATGGTCCATTGTTTTAGTAACGTTATTTATCTTATTTCAGTATTATTACTTAATTCTGCCAAAGTTTTGTTTCAAGGGTATGATAGAATAACTGGGATCTTCCCATTTTGAGTATTATGCCTTTATACCATACATTTAAAGAGCATGCTGTCACAAATATACTTGCTAACTGTAGATATTTCAGTAGGATCACTGGTTGGTTTGTTGGAGTTTCTATAATCTTTTCTAGAGGTCACCTCATGATCCACATTGGTCTATGCAACCCTTTGTACAAGTTGATTTGTTAACATACTTGGATACTGTGTTTATAAAAACTAGCTTTAAAAAAATCCTACATTTGACAGCAGTACGTTACATTTTGATTATTTCCGCCAGGTCTGAATCCTACTGTTCTCTTGAATTTGTCTCGAATCCAAAAGTAGGATTTTGTAAGCTTTATCGGCTTCCTATGGAGATAGGTTTAAAGTAATCGTTCCGCTTACACAGCCCAGATAGAATTTCGGCCATTATTTCTTGAATATTGACTGTAAGGACTTCTAGAGGTAACTCGTCACAAACTGGTATTCTTTCTGATTTAATTTCAATGATTTCAACTTTGGTTATGTTTAATGGCTTGATACTAATATTTTGTCTGTCTTCTGAACTTATGGTTCTTAACAGTTATTGTGTGTACTTCGATGTAGATTTTGTTTTGCTTATGTGGACTCATAATTTTTGGATCTACATAAAATGAGTGTATGTAAATGGATAAGATCGGAGAACGGTAACTAGATACATTAGTTGTTCTGGATTTGGACAAAAGTTTAGTATTTTTAGCTAAGTACAAAACGTTTTCATACATAAAAATTTTTTTAAAAAAACGTTGACCAATTTTTATTTCCAGGTCACTATCAATATCGATATGAAGTACTAAACATGACAACGGGTAAACCAGAGTATAACTCTCTGTTATATTCCTTACATCATTTGACTGGTTCCCCAAACCTCCCACTTCCGTATATGAAGTATTGCTATTTTTGTTTCCTCAAAATAACAGACGATGACAAATAAGTGAATTTTCGCCGATTTATTTTATTCACTTAGTGTGATGGTGAATAATTTTCCAGCATTATTGTTATACATAATGAGGAGTAACTGTTCTGGAAATGAAATTCAAATGTGATTTGCACAGAGAAAGTTTGGTTCTTTACGAATGTTTACCTTGAAGATACACAGGATATCTCGTCTCACGTTAACTGTATATCATCTGTTAGTGAAGTCTTCGTTAAAAAAAACGACTAACTTTCTAAGCTGCGAATAGATTATGTAGATAGAAATCCTTTTGAAAAACAATACGTTTGAAAGCTAGAATTTTTTTCAAGCCGAAGATGACTTATTTTCATTATTGGTTACAAACACAAGATCCGACAAATTAATCGTTCACATGTATGTTATTACAGTGATTGTTTACTAAAAATCATAGTTGACGTTAGCGCTGATCATTGTGGTGCATTTTTAATGAATGGAAATGTTAATTTCGTTAACAATTGACTTATTCAGTGAGTTGATTCAATCCTACTAACGATTCAATATATTTCAGGTCTCAGAAACGGGACTCAATATCCTGCATACAATGCTTGTAAATATGTCTAGCGCGAACTCCGAAAAACGCCAGGTATTCTTTAAAACATTCTTTATGGATATTCTTCAACATATGTTTGCTGTCATTACTGACCGCTCCCAAACAGGAAGTGAGTATTTGACAAACCCAGTAACTTCAATCTGTATGGTCAGTTTTTTGTTTACTTTAAAGTTCATAGATATTTCATTTCCCAAAGCAAACAAGATTTGTCTGCAGATTATCTTTAGAAGCTTACTGACAAGCTTCTAGCTATTATTTCGTATTAGATCGCACACCTTAAAAGTGTATTGTCACAATATCAGCTCACATGACTCGTAGTGCGATGTAAATGGAACTCAGTAGTTCATCATAAGGGATCACCCTAATGTGTTGACTTGCATACGACTATGTATTCCATGCCATAACACGTGTAACATAAATTTTTGCAAATTAGTAACTGATTCAACCACTTATGAGCAATCTTTCTTTCGTGTGTTAACTTAAAATTTTAAGTGGTATATTTTATTTCTTATAAATTTTCCGCTTCAAATAAGGAGCGAGTACAAGCCTGTAACTTTATTGCTGAAAACCTGCAAGTTACGAAGTCACTGCCTTATGATTGCACACAAAATAAGGTCTAGGCATGCTACTCCCTAATAAATTCATTCGATAATATCTATCGAGTTGCAAAGAATTGTATCCGTAGACACACAACTGTATCTATTTTCACTTTACTAATCTTAGCACCTTTGTTATCCCAGCCTAATCATGAATAATATATTGTTCGATCAGGGATGTAATGTTGTGAAGCCTCTCATTTAGTAGGTGTTTCGGTATATCTGTTAATAGGAACCCCCATTATATTTTAAATGTGTTATCGTAGATATCAACTTGACTGTTTCTCACGATTGTAATACCTTTTAGATTTAACTCTTCAGTCATCGTTGTTGGCTTATATGTTTAAAATAGTGGAGAACGACATAATCACAGTCCCTCTTAGTGATGCTCCAGAGTCAACGACCGTACAAGGTTCAAAAGTAAATGTACAATATGTACATCAAAGCTTGAGTCAGTTACTAAAGCAAGTATTCCCTCACCTTCAAGAAACACAGATTCGAGTTTTCATTGATGGACTATTTTCATTTGATCAAGATGTAGCAGCATTTCGTGAACACGTACGCGATTTCCTTGTTCAGATACGCGAGGTCGCTGGAGAAGATTTATCTGATTTATATTTGGAAGAAAGAGAAGCTGAGATTGCTCAGGCACAAGCAGCAAAACTAAGACGTCAAGCTTGTATTCCTGGGATTTTAGGTCCCCATGAAGTCGATATGTGTGACTAGTTGAAAGACTTTTCGACCAATTTTTAGTGCATTTGAATATTTAAGTAAAAACTAACATTCCCTGAAATCCTACACATATGTGACAACATATATGTCATTTCGATGGTAACCAATAATTTTTCCCTATATACTGTTGCATTAGAACCACTGGATTCATTATTGTCAATATAACTTTCCCAGAATACAGTATCCAAACAAGGCAGCGTTCCACTTGTAATGCAATACTTACATTAAATCTTTGCGAAGCTATACAGTTACCCTAAAATAATTCTTATTTCAATTACTAGTTACTTTTTATTAAACAGAGTTCATTTTGATGAAAAACAAATGTGGAGCCATTTATAACACTTAAGATAATAATTGTTAATATACTGAAGTAATACATTTGAAGTAATTCATTTCAAAAAGTACATTCAGGCGTTAGGAAAAACAATACTGCTACGAAGGTCTGTTTTTCGACTTGTCAAGACCTAGCACCTCAACAGTGAATGTAACAGGTCGGCTTCTGGTTGATGTCTGGAGATTATTACTTACTGACATAAGGGTAGGTAACCTATCAATAAGGTCACTTAGTTCTCCTCTAGTCCTGCAGTAGAATCCAACAGCGCAAGAAGAGTTTAGGTTCGATGCATCCATTGTTTTAGGAATAGGACAGTACCAAGACTGAAAAATAGATATTCAGAATATTAAGTTATTTAAAATAATAAGAACAATTGCTGGTATGGAAACTCATAATGTGAAAACGAACATAATAATTAGTAGGGATTTTTATTGATCTAGAACGACGAATTAGGCCGGATAATTGATGCGTGGTTAGTAAAAGTGAGTGTGATTGACCAAGGAGCGTGAACTGACAGACTTACTAACTAATTTGGGATTTCTATCCAATGTATATCAGAAATTCGCCAATGTAGTAAGTAGCAGTGGAGAAGTCCAGTAAACTTGGTATATAAAGCATAAGGTACAGATACATTGTGATTTACAAATAGTGAGTTAGGGTGCTTTTGCTCAGGTTGCAAGGATAATAATTATGTTTTCACCTATATATATATATATATATATATATATATATATATATATAGGGAATAATTATTATTCAGACGTACATAAGGGGATACATAAAATTTTCAAAACTCAGTACAACACTTCTTAGAACCCTCTTAATATTGATTCTCGTAGCCGACTTCAAGCTAGCAATGAACTTGTTGGGAGATTCATTTTGCCGCGAGAAACGTGTCTAGTATATGAGTACGATGAGACTTTTATAATTACATTCACCATAATTAGTTATTTGGACTTCTTGATATCATTAGCATGAATAAGTTTTTCGTTTGAATATTTTTCTCCCATCGCTGATGAAACAGATTTGGTATTTATATCACAATAAGGGTTATCGAAAGATTAAAGGGGTTGAGTATTCTTACTAGATTGTATACCTGAGTTTTGTTTGTATGACAATATAAAAACGTTACTTTTGTAACCTTTTGCTTGGTTTTGTACAATGTTTGAAACTAAAATAGGAAATGTAATGGCTACTGTCAAAATTTTGAGGAATCACATGGTTGGCAAAGTAAATAAGCACTAACTAAATGATAAACTTGATGAATATTTCACCCAATACTTTACTATATTTCGTAACTTTTATGAGCTAAATGCTATAATGAAAAGTAATCAATAAACTTAGGAATGTTGAATACTGATAGTGTGACAAAAGTTCCAGAAGTATATGTCTATACGTCGTATGTCCAATAAATACGCGGAGTGGCACCATGAAAACTTGTATACAAAATCCTAAGTACATCAGTCCCATCCCTTCAAAAATTAGTTCCCATCTGTGGCAAAAGCTTTGCTCGTCTCCATTTCTATTGTTCTAAACATGTCACGAGATCCTCCGGCTTCAAATTCATGAGATCTTATTGTTTTGTTTTTCTAAACTCCGAGGTAATCGACAGGAAACCTTGAACCTAAATTCCGTGTTAGTTCACACTTAGCAAGGCGTACGTGTAGTCTTGAGTGGACCGATGTTCCTTGTGTGGTTCGAACTCGCGATACCCAACCTCACAAACTGAGACGTTACTATCGGGCTACGACTGACTTATTGGCACTCTTAGCTGACGAGTATCAATTATCACAGTCAAGGATTTCCTATTGACGTCTAATCATCTAACATTGCACACTATGTCATTACTTGAACTAGTGGAGATACTGCAATCTGGTCGACAGAATGCAATAAGCACCTGAAGGGCTGGACAAACATGACAATGGCTTAAGTTTCTTGTTAGGAGTGTGTGCACTTGTGATTCCTCCGAATTCACTTCAGTGGTAATTGGGACAATGAGTCGGCGACTGCAAGACACGAGAAATTGTATACGTTCGACTTTTCCATCAACATACATAGCCAAGAGTTGTTTTGGCTTTGGATGGTTTGCAACCCTTAACAATTAGATTATTACAATAACTAAAGGAATTATAGTCATTAAGTGAGACGCACAAACATACCGACCGGTATTGCGTGTCTTATCGAAATGAATAGAATTTATGAATCACACTAATATAATAGAATAATAATGTTCTTCAATTGGCAGGTCACATGCAGGACGAATAGTCTGCAGGCATACCAGACCAGATTGACGTGGTGGGAGCTTAAGCAACCATTTGATTGGCTAGTTGTGGACATAACTAACATTCCCTCCAAGCGGACAGCACGTTCAAACTTCGCTACTGTTGCACTCAAATAATCGACCAGTTTTAATAGGCACAGGTTCCGTATATCCTGACTGATCTCTTTGGTTGCTGTCTTCAGTCGAACTGTTCTGACTCATCCATCTGGACCATAATTGACCTAACTATAGCTTCCGGCCACAGATTTCTCGGTGAGCCAGTATTGTTTACTAACGCTAAATCTCCCGGTTGTAGATTTCTTCTCATGTCCAACCACTTGGATCTCACCGGAAGGGTTAGTAGGTAATCCCATAACCATCTGTTTCAGAATAGATTGGCTAGTTGTTGCGCTTCCTTCTATATGTTATATAAGCACGTTTTACTCATCCGCGCTTTGTCGAATGATAACCTCTATGAACTGATAATAACTTATTTGGCGTAAGCACATCCAGATTATCACAATCATTAACTAGCTGTGCGATTGTTTAGTATTCCTTCAGTCTCTATTGAAAACGTCTGCAAGGACTCGTCCGTCAATACCTTCTGCAACAGCAGTGATCGTAGAGTTCTTATTGATCCGTTCTCATACTCCGCCTCGATGACTAGCTCTCGGAGGGCTAAAGTGCCATTTACAACCTCTTTCCAAAAGGGCATTTGCTATCTTATTCTGGTCCCAAATACACACAATCTGTCCAAGACGGGCGTCGGCGCCTCTGAAGTTCGAACCGTTGCCGCTGAACACATGTTTTGGTGTACTTGAAAAGTCATGTTATTTTTCAATGCTTTATTTCCCATAAATAGATCTCAATATATTACGAATTTTCCAAAAGATTTTTACAAGCTGAGCTCGCACATATATATATATATATATATATATATATATATATAGGTTATTAGATTAAAAATTGCATTCAAATGAATAAAGTATACTTACATCAACTGAAAATTTAGGGGAATTCAGTTTTTGAGTTGGTTGAGTAAAATGTGGATCTAAGTAAATTAACAAATTATTTTGACAACCAACATAATAGCTGGAATGTTTTCGACGACCACCGATCAAGCCTACAAACGCTGGATCCGAAAATAGACGCAACACCACTGGAATATAACGTGGGTTAATGCGAGTTCCTTTTCCGAACATCATTGGGATGAGTAACAAGACAGCTGTTGGTTCGAAGCTGGGTGAGTCTATAGGAAAAAGCAATATTACGGAAAATTGAGTGGTATATACTCTTATCGTTGTTTAGCTTTCAAGCGGAGAATTTTCAATTCTTAATTGATTAGGCAGTTTGTAGAGATAGTTTTTCACACGAAATGACATCAGATAAAAAGCATGTAGGTGGCGACTAATGAGGAATTGAGAATTAGAACGAAACACCAGTTTAGTAATCTCTAACTGATGTCGATCTACAACGAAAACTAACCTCAACTAGAAATGTTAGCTGAATATTATGACAAACGTCAAATACATAAGTAAAGTAATAGCAGATTAGCGTTGAAATTAAAGCTAATCGGGGCGGTTAGTTTGAAAATAAGTATTAAGATTTGACATCTTAATCATTCTTGTCTTCCACAACAGTTTGACGAAAAGTAAATTAGAACATTTGGTAAACTCAAAGTAAGCTTTCCATTACATTAATACAGCCTTTATTTTTCTTTGCCAAAATAAACGTCAACATCTGCTATGTCGAATGATCTACAGTCTGAGATTTAAACTTGTTAGGTTTGAAGCTTCACGAGTTCACTTAATCGCGAACGAGAACAAGACTCAGTGACCAAAGACCAGTAATCTAGCTACTGATGAGTTCCAGCCCCGCTACCTAGAAGGAAAGTCCAAATTTCATATGAAAAATATATTCTGCAAACAGCCAGCGAGCCCGCAAACGAAATTTAAAACGTATATATACAAATATATATAATCGATATTGACATGGAAGATTTTAAACATTAATCAACGAGTTCATCAAGTGACTGCTATTTAATCGATATGATAAAATTACAAATATGAGTTTTTGGGATATACCGTCCCCAAAAAAACTACAAAATCCATTGGCATCAATAAAAATTCTGTAATCAATCTTGAAGAATCAGCTGACAGTAAGAAAATGCACGTTGTTCAACTTAATATGAAAACAATCATGTTTATTTATATCAGTCTAATTTAAAATGAATAACTTTTACCGAACCTATTTTCCATCATGTTATAAACTAGAATTAAGTTATTTGATCTACTATTTGAAAATAAGGAATGAAAATAACTGTTTTGACTTAGAAGTTCTACTTGTATATAGGATATGTTGGTAGGACATACAATATTATTAGGTCATGGTACTACAAACAGGAATAAGTACAGTTTCGGTAACCGTAGATTAAACAATTGTTTGATAGATGAATATAAGCTTCATTCTGTATTTGTTCATTATTTCTGTATAGCCACGTATATATATTGTTATTTGTATTAATATTCATAACAAGAAACCAATGTTTGGAACAATAAGATTTAAATAAATGTAGCACAGAAATACAGTACTATGAGACAGCGAACGGTGGAAAATTGTGTGGTGATTAACAAGAATTAATAAGGAATTGCAGTTCAGGTAAGAACACAAACTTTGTGGAA